CCTCAATCTCATGTGGTACGCTCATGAATTGTAAAATCAGGCCCACAAGCGTGTGTGTGTGTGTGTGTGTGTGTGTGTGTGTGCGCGCGCTCCCACTCTATGCATTGCCTATTAAGGCAGATGAATACTGCTCTGTTTTCTGCTCTATGGAGGAGTTTATTCCTGGAGTTAGAAACTAAATAGACACTGAACACTCGCTTGTTTTTGTGTGAGTAAGAGAGGTTGCACACAACTGCCTCATAAGATCCGGTTGTTTCTGTTTCTTGGCAAAGCTGAAATCTAGTGACTCTGTCCAACACCCAGCTGCCTCTCTCTCTCTCTTACACACACACACATGTGTTCCTCCTCCAGTCTTTAGCACAGTTTTTTCCTCTCTTCAAGACTTCACAGATGAACGGCACAGGAAGTAATGCTGTGGAGATGTTAGTGAATTTGTAAACAAAACCTGAGAAAATCTGCAATCTGTGTTCATTCAGTATTTCAAAATTATAGCACAGGAAAAATATGATCTCTTACATGATCTCCTAAAGTACAGTGGTGGTTCCATGTAAATTATAGATGAGATTGTGATTTCATGAGTTTTGGTGATACTGAATGATTACCAAATTAAGGGACCAGTTTTAATATTTATTAAGGCTTTTCACTGTGATGTTAATGAAACTGAAATCTGGTTAATGTACATGACACGGAATCAGAATATGACCAGAATAATCTAGGAATATTATTGTGCATGTAAATGCAGTCAGTGACTGTTTACATGCACATCATGCTCCACAGATTTTAGAATATTAATTTATGCATGTTATGGGCTTATTCTGTATTTATTATACTGCATTTATTTCTGCACAGTAATTAATCCTCATTCCTGTCCTTGACAATAGACAAAAGTACAATGAACTGCAAAATGTAGGACATGACACATCTTTTAACGTTTGTAAAATTGGGTAAAATTGGATTCTGGCGTCCTTGTTCAGGTTATTGGGTAAAATAATAAAACTGAATATTCTAAGCTGTGTGTATGACCCAAATTTTAGTTCTCTGAATATCTTGGAATATTATTTTATGGTTGTAAAATATGGTTGTACCTTAAATAAACTAGGATGTTATTATTTAATTCCCCCAAATGTTAGGGTAACATTCTCTGGGTTTTATAATGATCTACACTGAATATTCAAAATAAACTGTTTGTATGACCTACAATTCTTAAATAAACCTAAACCTAAAATAATGTTTCTAGAAATGTGTTAGGCAAGTTAAAAATAACCAAGCAGGAATCAAATACTAACGTTAGCGGAATATTCTGTGTTTGTTGTTAAATCCAGCAATTTTTTTCACTCTTGCATTCTGGAAAACTGGAATATTGGCTTTAATCATCAATATTAATTATTCATATTCTAAAATATTAATATTCTTGCAAAACAAACAAATAAATTACCATGAAATTTGTACCATGATATTTTTTTACATTAATTTTTAAATGGTATTTTTTACATGGCAATCGTTGAGTACCATATTACCATCTCTCCACCACAGTAGGGTGTAAACGTGTCTTAAAATATGATATGATATCTCCTCGTGCGCCAATGAAATCAGAACAAGGTTACAGTAGTAACAGTGTTCGGTATCCGTGACTCCACGCCCAGACGGAGCAGCTCTCTCCTCTTAACGGAAGACTGCCATATAGGAACAGAAAGAGACTGATGCTGGGCCGCCCTGCTGTCAGTACAACGGCACACACACAGGAATCAAATACTAACGTTAGCGGAATATTCTGTGTTTGTTGTTAAATCCAGCAATTTTTTTCACTCTTGCATTCTGGAAAACTGGAATATTGGCTTTAATCATCAATATTAATTATTCATATTCTAAAATTCTTTTTACATTAATTTTTAAATGGTATTTTTTACATGGCAATCGTTGAGTACCATATTACCATCTCTCCACCACAGTAGGGTGTAAACGTGTCTTAAAATATGATATGATATCTCCTCGTGCGCCAATGAAATCAGAACAAGGTTACAGTAGTAACAGTGTTCGGTATCCGTGACTCCACGCCCA